AAATAAATAAATAAATAAAAATAACAAAAATGATCAAGCTTCTAAAACCTCTTCTTAAATGGATTTATATGGAAATTGAAATAAAGATCCCAAAGATTTAAATTAACATGTCAGAAAATAAGCAAGCAATTCATGATTTCAACATAGATGTTCTTTGCCCTTCCTCCCATTGTTCACTGTTGGAAAGCGCTTCTACATAAAACAGGATTAAAAGAAGGGGAAAAGGCTTAAGTGCAAATTTCTAAAATGATAATCTTTTGAGAGAAAGGTGTGCCAAACTATTCACTAAAATAGGATCTGGAAATATTTTCTCTAGGTCATGTTATTCCCCAATCAACAAGGATCATTACGTATTTTCAACTCTTAACATGAACCACACCCTCAATGCCCCATGATAAGCCCTATAGTTTATACGGTCCAACAGTGCTGTAAAAATACTCAATTATCTCATGTGGGGGGAAATCTCGTTTTCATTTAAAGATAATCTGTTTTACTTGAGAGTATCAAGACAGAAAAATGTTGGGATGCCTGGGTGGTTCAGTTGGTTGAGCATCAGCCTTCAACTCAGGTCCTGATCCCAGGGTCCTGGGATGGAGCCCTGCATCGGGCTCCTTGCTAGGCAAAGGAGCCTGCTTTTCCCTCTGCCTGCCGCTCCCCCTGCTTGTGCTCTCTCGCTCTCTCTGACAAATAAATAAATAAATATATTTTTTTAAAAATGTGAAAAATGAAAACCTTCAATTTTTAATAATATTCACATTTTTGTGCTTAAACATTCCATATAAATGTCATTTTCTAACCACTCCCCCACCCCCGCAGTTTTATCCAACAGTCAGCTACTAATCTCAAAAATGTTAGCGATCAGTGGGCAAAAGGGCATCAGAAAACCTCCCTGAAAAATACAACACAGGTCCCAAGCTTCTCTGGACGAGGAGTGACAGTACAGTTCCCCAGGGCTGGGAGTGCGAATGTGCAATCTGATGACTGACAGGTGGATAAAGTGCTAGACAAGCTGGTCGCCTGCTCTAAATCTAACTACCAGGGTCCCCAGGCTTAATGCTCAAACCAGAATGCCAGCCCAAGGGGTGCTCCCCTTCAAGGTAAAGATTGGTGACAGAAAGCCATGCTGATCTTTCAATTTGTCAGCAAAGCCATCCAAAGACACTGATGACAAATTTATTGGCTTAGTAAACTAACAGAATTTTTGCTAGTCTGGCTGCTCTTCCCTATAATAAAATGCAAACAAAAACTACAAAGACCTGCTTTTAATAGGCCCAACTGCTACCTAAGTTATTTGTCCTGGATTAGCAATAATGAATAATGTTCTAGCTCCAATACCAATAAAGGAGAATATGAAGTACTCTAATCTTTTTTTGATTCCTATAATAAAGAGAGTATCAGGGTCCTCTTAAATTCGTGTTTTTTGGGGTTTTTTTTAAGATTTTATTTATTTAGGGCACCTGGGTGGCTCAGTCGGTTAAGCATCTGCCTTCGGCTCAGGTCATGATCCCAGGGTCCTGGGATCGAGGCCTGCATCGGGCTCCCTGCTCTGCAGGAAGCCTGCTTCTCCCCCTTCCTCTGCCCGTTGCTCTGCCTACTTGTGCTCTCTGTCAAATAAATAAAATCTTAAAAAAAAGATTTTATTTGAGAAAGAGCACGTGCGCATGCGTGCACACAAGAGGGTAAGGGGCAGAGGTAGAGGGAGACTGAGCAGGGGTGCTAGATGCCAATATCCGCACCAATAGCAAACAAGCTAAAATGCTTTCCTGGGTTACTTCTACCAGGTGGCAGTACAGTGTGGTAAAAAAAATACTAGCCCTTGGAAATCTCATTATTTTAGCCTTAAGCCTCTCTATTGTAGGCTTGGTTCCCTCCTGAAAAAGTAAAAGATTGGGCGCCTGGGTGGCTCAGTTGGTTAAGCAACTGCCTTCAGCTCAGGTCATGATCCTGGAGTCCCTGGATCGAGTCCCTGGATCGAGTCCCGCATCGGGCTCCCTGCTCGGCAGGGAGCCTGCTTCTCCCTCTGACCCTCCCCCCTCTCATGTGCTCTCTCTCTCTCAAATAAATAAATAAAATCTTTTTAAAAAAAAATTAAAAGATTGCACTAGATCAGTGGTTTCTTTCTTTAAAACAACAAACAAAAACTTTTAAAAAATTACAAAAGAAATATATGCTTGAAAAGTTTCAAGAAATAGAGATAAAAAAAGGATACAGAGTAAGTTAAATCTCACCTTCTTGACTACCCCTTCTCTCCCCCAAATCAGGAGTTTTCAAATTGCACTATGCAGAGTCCTAGGGCTCCCCGGAAGCAGAAAGTGGCAGTAGAGGCCACGCGGGCAGGGACTCAAGGATCCCCTCCCCTGCATCACCACCTCAACCAAAGCAGCCCTACTTTTATGCATCTGATATACTGGATGTCACAGATTTTGAAACAAAGTTTCCACTCCTACAGTGAAGTTTGAAAACCACAGGATTAAATTACTTTAAAAATATTATCCAGCTCTAAAATTATGATTTTGGCCTATTAGACCAAATCCTCATATTTGTTATTATATTTATACCAAGTTTCCATAAAATTTCCTGAGACTTCCACCTTACCTCTAGCTCAAGATCCTGAGGTTCCATCTCAGAAAGTGATAGCACAGCAATTTTGGTAATTTTACAGACCTCATGGTCTCCTGGAAGTTTGCCCACCAATGCTTTCTGCCGAATTAAAATAAGCCACCATGGAAGATCTGAAAGAGAAAAGTCACACTAATGTCTGGAATCTATAAAGGGCTACTAACCTGGCAAGCTGGAGGTGAATAATCTAACAACAAAATATACATTAGATATAACCCTTTAAAGTAAAGCACATGACAAAGATATATAAATGGCCCTCAACATGTGAAAAGATGTTCAATCTCACTTAGAGAGATGTGAATTAAAATGCAGCGATACCATTTTCATCCATCAGATTGGGGAAAATATGGAGGTAGGACAGCACATTCCCTAACAAGGCTGTGGGGACACAGGCAATGTCATACAGTGCTGATGGGAATAAAAACAGATACAACTTTTCTGGAGGGAAATTTAGTGATACCTAATAATAAAACATATGCACTTACTTTTAACCTACTAATCTCACTCTTGTGCGTTTACCCTGAAGATACACAACCAACCTAAAATATATACACTCAGGTCTATTCATTGCAGCAGTTTGTAACTACAAAATACTGGAAACAACTTGATTGTTCAGACATAGGAGAATGGCTGAATAAACTAGGACACATCCACTCAGTGGAGTACTACGCAGGTACAAAAAGGAATTAGACATGGTCTAGGAACGGACAAGGAATGATTCCTGGATATATTACATGGATAAACTGGATATATTTATAGAACAAGGAGACAATAAAATCATATAAGAATTTATATTATCAAATCAAAGCACAAAAGAATATCTAGAGTGTGCCACCCTTTATGTAAGAAAGAAGATCTGAGGGGTGCCTAGGTGGTTTAGTCATTTAAGCGCTGTACTCTTGGTTTCGGCTCAGGTCATGATCTCAGGGTTGTGAGACTGATCCTGGGGTGGGGGTGGGGGTGGGGGTTCTGTGCTCAGCGGGGAGTCTGCTTGGGATTCTCTCTCCCTCTGCCTCTGCCCCTACCCCCACACATGGACTCATTCTCTCTCTAAAATAAATAAATCTTAAAAAAAAAAAAAAGATATGAGAAAATATGCATACATCTGCAAACTCACACAAAAAGTAAGAGCAATAAATTAGAAATTAATGAGACTGGTTACCTACAGAGGGTGGGCAGAAACAGGATAGAAGAAGGGGGATCTGGGGAAATGACAGTTCTCTGAGTATGTCCTTTTGTATAGTTCTGACTCAGAACCATGGGGATGTTTCACATCTCCTCAAAAATAAATAGTTCCTTTCGACCAGAATGCATTTGTCGGGGTGGGGAGGGGATGACTCAAAACAAAATGCAAATAGCAACTCAACTCTGCTTCAAATGGACAATGTAACCACACTGTTAGAAAAAACTCACCTAAATAACTCTGGAAAACACTTCTTAAGGATAAAGACAAAGAGAACTCTATATAATATTGTACTCTGGTTAGTGATTTTGTTGGAAGGATAGGAGTTAGCAATTCCAAAACCACTTTATGTGTATATACTAGCACTGAGCAAATAATATACGGAGGACAATGGGGGGGGGGCAAAGAAATCTTTAATAAATACAAGAAAGAAGGAAAGAAAACACCCAGAGGCCCAACAATTATCTTTCCAATCCACATTTTTACTTTTCACAAAAGATTTTTAATTAAATGAGAAATGGTCTATGAAAGACAGCATGCAAATGCAATTTTTCAGTTTATGAAGTTACACCCTTAAGAAATACTACCTAATTAGCACCAAAAATAAAAATAATTGAAAGAGTGTTTCAGTAATTTCTTGTGGAAAACCAACATGATAGATATATAGTCACCATGTAAAAAACATTCTTAAAAGAGATATATAGTATTTCAATTTCCCCCAAATATCAATCAACTCTCATTTTAGGGATCGTGCTTTGAAGATGTGCTTTAGGCATTTCATAAATGCAAGAGTTTGGAAGAGTTTCATAATTCTTTATAAAGTAGGGTGGAAATTTACTCCAAAGCTTCAAGGTTTTTACAGGCCATTTCATTGTTCATTATCATTAAACATTAACCAAGGACCTACCATGGGCTAGGGAGTATTTCAGGCACTGGATCAAGATCAGTTATCAAGCACCTATCATATAATAAATCGAACACATAATAAAGCACGTAACATGATACTTGTTCTTCAGAAGGGTAGGAGCTAGCAACAAACAATATACTGTTAAATGTCAATACATTTTTTTAAAAGGTTTTTATTTATTTTTTGACAGAGAGAGAGAGACAGCGAGAGAGGGAACACCAGCAGGGGGAGTGGGAGAGGGAGAAGCAGGCTTCCCGCTGAACAGGGAGCCCGATGTGGGGCTCAATCCCAAGACCCCGGGATCATGACCTGAGCTGAAGGCAGACGCTTAATGACTGAGTCACCCAGGCGCCCCAAATGTCAATACATTTTGTTGAATGAAACAAAACCCTCACCATAGGTTTCCTAACCTCACAGTAATAATTTCTATTTTACACTGAACAAGTTAGAGTGTTGGCAGCTAACCAGACAAGCCAACACAATGAAGACCTTTTCTTACTTTATGCCTTCTTGCTGGAGTTGACTTTGGATACATTTCATATTAACATTGCAAATTATGGTTTTAATAAATCACAACAATGAAAAACACAATGCATAATCAAATGCAATAAATAGCTTTCCAGTAAACCATCTAATGGCACAGTGCCAAAATATAAAAATATTAACCTTCGAACAGAGGTTAATACATACATAAACTCACTTGGGAAACCAAAAGGCATCATTTTTTTTTTTCACAAAACCACTGATACTGCCAATACTGAAATACAACTTACAAACTCAAATGCACTTTAAAATGAAATATGCGTATTTTTGGAGTTTAGTTAAGCTACTTCAACAGAAAAAAATGTGAAAAATTGAGATGCTTTCTAAAAATATATTATAGACTGAAGTTCAATAGATCTGGGAAGTTAGGATGAAGTTAAATCTGAGAAAATATAATGGACATGATCAAACAACAGAAAAAGAATCTGTAAATAGCAGCGTTCCCTTTTCAAGGAGGCTTTAATGTTCTGGACTTTGAGGTCAGAATTCAGACTTGAATTTTAGCTCACCACTTATTTATTTTTTTAAAGATCTTATTTATTTGACAGAGAGAGAGAGAGAGTACATGAGTAAGCATAGGGGATGGGGGGGTAGAGGCAGAAGGAGAAGAGAATCCCAAGCAGACTCCACACTGAATGCAGACCCGACATGGGGCTCCATCCCAGGATCCTGAGATCATGACCTGAGCTGAAACCAAGAGTCGGACCCTCAACCGCCTGAGCCACCCAGGCACCCCTAACTCACCACTTTTTCACCCTGTACTTGGCAGCACAATACTTGGCTGACTTCTTGGTTTTCTCATCTGTGGAATGGGATAAAACTGCCTGCTGCAGAGAATAGCTATGAGGATTAAATAATTTTTATAATTCATGTGATTGTTACTAAGAGCGAATGTTTACCGGGTGGCAAAACATTCTATAAAGCTATGGTAAATAAAACAATGGGGTACCGGTACAGGAACGGTCAAATGAATACCAGAGTAGAACAGAGCAGACAGAAACAGTCCCATATAATATGGGCACCTAGTACATGATGATAAAGAGTGTATGTCATGAAAGTGTTGGAATACATACTGAAGCATTTGTGGATAAACAGGTTATCTGGAGTCCGCTTTGAAATAATTTAGCAGCTGAGAATGTGGGGACCACAGATAAAAAAAAATGTCTTTTTTTTTTTATAGTTGACTTCCAACCAGATCTATGAACTGCATTGGTTCTCTTAAGTCTTTTAATCTCCTGTCTGTTCTCAGTCTCACACATTGATCAAAAAGAAAACATGAAAAGTAAAGTAAGGGAATAGATATCAACTAGTTATAACCAAAGTAAGTTGGGATGATGAAAATGTTTTGGAATTAGTGCTGATGGTTGTACAACCTTGAGAATATATTGTACATTTTTTTTAAAAAAGATTTTATTTATTTATTTGACATATAGAGACATAGCTAGAGAGGGAACACAAGCAGGGGGAATGGGAGAGGGAGAAGCAGGCTTC